TTTCCTTAGCACCTCTTTGACAGCGTGCTGGTTTTCAAAGCGTTATTGCATTTTTGCGCTCCTCAAAACAGGCATTTTTATCGGCTTACCTTAACGTTTTGTACAGGGATCTCACAACCTCATTTGATCCGTTTTCGTGTTTTTGAGGTTGTACAAATATTTCTTTCTAGCTTCTCATCGACTTCTGTTAAAGTTTCAGTTTGATTTTTACAGCGTTTTGCAACACCTCTTTGGTAGTTGGGCTTGGTGTAACGAATGGTAGCTACTGTTTATGATCGTAGTCTCAGTGAAAAGTTTAAATCCAACCTTGTTGGAGATCTCCTGTCGAAGTTTCCGCGTCTTTTTGGTACTTGCCCAACCACAACATTTTAGCTTTGTCTATAAGATGCATAAGTTGACAGGGGAAGTAATTGCGAAACTTGCTCGAAACAAAAACTTACACGTAAATTTTTCAAAATGGTTTTAAAAACCACTTTTGGTAAGAAGTTTCCCATCCAGTTTTTTCTACCAAAAGGTGCAACTTATGAAAACAGTCAAATTGTAAGCGCCGGTAGGTGGCCAGTGCTCAGTATGCCATGTATAACTGAAGAACCGCTGTTGTGGTCATAAGAGAACTTTAGCAGGCAGTTAGAAAGTAAAAAAGAGTTACATGGATTAGTTTGGACTTGTTACAAATGAACCAGTCACGGCTATGGACCATTAGAAAAAAAATTGACTGCAGGTCAACAGTAGAAAAAATCGTTTTAAATTGCGACGGTACCGTTTTTGATCCAAACAGCCACAAACGTATCGATTCACCTGTAACGAGCAAAACACTTAGTGAGGGGGTCTTACGACACGTCGTACTCTTGAAAAATTGATACCTCTCTTTCGCAGTGACAGTGAGAGAAGTTGAGGTTCATTCATGTAGCTTTGGGAAATTTAGGTTATTTATTTCATTATGGACAACACTATTTTTTCTTATCCGTAAGGACGAAGTCACGGTTTTAAAAATTAAAGAAAGGGAAAGATTTCTAATCTGGATAAGGAAGCTATGGCTTTCAAAGGACGAAAAGTTTAGAATTTGAAAAGTCGGACGTAATCTTAGAAAGTAATTTTTGCTATCATTTTACCGCAGATTTATCTTGCAGTGGACTACCGGGCGTCTAGTCTTAGATTAGAAACTAAAAAATAAAATAAGCTTAAAAGAACAAAAAATACAGTAATCCTCATGAAAGTTTAACCTTTTTAAAAATGAGCCACTCCATGCCAAATCGCACATCTCCGTTCATCACCCTCTCAGATTTTTTTCATTCCTTGCTGATCAGTAGAGTCTGGGCCAGCATAAAGAAAGCCGCAAAGAAAATCCGGAAAAGTGA